TTTTAAAACAATGATTTCTTAAGTTAATTTATTTAAAAAAAAAAAATTACATAATCTCTTTTAAAAGTTCAAATTTTTATTTGCATGAAAATGCATGAAAAATCGTACTTTTTACACGGACATTTGTACTTTACAGGGAAAGCTAGTCGATGGCAATACAATCGAAAATATAAAAAAAAGAAAATAATTTTCAGCTCATCACGAAAAACAGAGTATTCCCAATTTTTTATTTACCCGACACATATGCAAACGTGAAACGTGTTCGGTGTTCTTGTTTAAGAAGTTTTGCTCCACGGCATTTTTTACGTTAAGCCGTTGACAGTGTCTTTTCCCGGCAGTTTTCCTGTACACCCTCGACAAGAGATCCGGCCGTCCAGTGCGAAAATTTTCATGCAGAAATTCATGAACGTCTGGATTCTGAGAATTGCAAATCGGATCTCTATTGTGCGACGTCACCTTCCGGAAACCATAGAGATTCAGCTGCCTGATGAAGCTCGTAATGTTCTTCGTTTTGAAGATGGAATTGCCCGCGTCGAGATACTGTTCCTGAAATTTCTTGTAGTCGAGAAGAATGGTATTGCCGTTCAGGCTCCAACGGATCGCGCCGCTCCTGCATTCGTTCACTATACGCCACAATTTCTGCGGGAATCTCAACGAAAGGAATATGCAATCGTCGTACATGCCTTGAATTCGAAAGTGGCGTTTTATCGTCGTCCGTGGAACGTAGAACGAAACTAAACACTGCAAGTCTCTCCCTCTCGTTGCTTCCTCGAATCCCGATCGATTATCTTTTGCAAAACAAAACACTATCGTATCACGGCAACAATATTTCTTCTTTTAGAAATTGGCATTTCCAACCTTTCGATGCTGAAATTAAAGTAAACGTAGGAAATGGAAAAAAGAAAAAAATGGAAAAAACTATTTTCAGATATGAAACGCTCGCGTCCTATTAATTTTCAAAATTGTAATGTTGTAAGTTTTTTTTCTTCGTTTGTTATAAACGATCTTTCGCCAATGTTTTGCTCCTGCATGTTAAACAAAGTAGGGAATAAATTTCACTTGATAAATTATACATTGTCGAATTTAATAAAAACATTATGATCTAATACAATGATTCTTATACTAAAGTAATGTGTTTAAACTGTCTCTTATTCGTGGTTCCTTCTACACGATACCATAACATTTTATACAGATCGCAGTGTACATCGTTATCAAGTACATTGAAGAGATGTGACGCAGGTGAAAGAAGAAATTAGATACACGTAAATAATTATAAGTAATTATAAGTAATAATAAATTATTAAAAGTATGTTACATATCCTTTAAACATTACAAATTATTAATACTATTTCCTGGACAATGAAAGTTCAACGTCGAACATCGAACCTTCACAATTTCCCTGATGTCATTGGTATTTTTTTAATTACACGTGAGAAAGTATATATATATATATATATATATATATATATATACGTATGTAGATAGAAAAAGTACGAAAAATTATAACAACGCTAAGTAGATGGTAATTTTTAATCAAAATCAGACATCTGTCAAGATCTGTCTATGTATACATACATATAGAGAGAGAGAGAGATACATCTACTGGTAGTTCTCAAAATCGGTCTACACATCAGTCTTTCAATCTGGACGCTATGGAACGACGAAATATCGAAAGGAAGACGTTAACACAACAGCGAGAGTATTATAATACATACGAGCTTTAGAAGCTACTTTTTTTTTCTTACAGTTTTCTTTTCCTCGATTCAAATTCATAAATTACCGTCTACTCGAAGTACCCGATTTTATTGAATTTCATTGTCAATCATCGGACAATGCTGGCAAAGTTTGCAAATATTCGTGCGGTTTAGTCGGCGCTGGCAATAAATAACCATCAGGATCCAGTAGATCTGGCGTACGAATGGTGACTGGTCCCTGAGGTGGTCTTGGCAACGTGTCCTGTTGAACGGTTTTGCCTTTAGCTTTCTCCAGTCTTTCCAATATCTCTGAGAATTTGATTCTGTCCTTGGGATCTGTTTTCCAGCAATCTCGCATCAACTGGCAGACGAATGGCGGGCATCCTTCCGGGGGTATAAGCATTATTCCTTGGAAAATTAACTTCACCACCTGTTGGGACATTCAATGAAAAAGTAATAAATTGTAACAATTAGAATGTATATAAGGAAATTAGTAGCGAGGGAATGTCATGAGATTTATTTTCAAGTGATGGTAGCAGCGAGAGAGTAAGTAGTAAGAAAGCGTAATGGCGAGACACAACTACAAGGTAACGCAAGTACACGAAAGATTACGGTACTGGTTCATTATCGAAAAATGAAGATATGTAAATTAAAAGAGCTTCTGTAAATTGGTAAAATTGTTCTACTCACTTCTTCGTTGTTATGTCCGTAATACGGCTGTTTGCCAAAAGAGTAGACTTCCCATAGGACAACACCAAAACTCCATACGTCGCTTTCCAGCGTGAAACGTCCGTACATCACACTTTCCGGTGACATCCAACGAACCGGTAAAAGTCTAGAACCTCCTATCTAAACAGAAACAGAGAAACTCTGTTTATGAACAGAAATTAGACAGTGGGTATCTTCATCGCATGATCGCACGTGGTTCTTTCCAATTAATGTAGGAAATGAAAAGATAGTTACGCCGAAATCAAGAACGTCCGTGGCAAGCCATTTTTGCCTTTTGTTGTCGTTCAGGCCATTTGATATTTTGGCTAAATTTTGACTTCATTACATCATCAATCGATAAGTAGTTCTCTTGTTTAGAGTATCTGCTATCACATCGTGTACCACTTGTGGTAATATTATTAGAAATACATGCTGGTACACGTGGCCTGGAGATCAAGTTTAACGTGTACCACCGGTGGTACACATGGCCATGGAACGTGTTAACAAATCGCTGGGATCACGTCAGGTCGTTCAGCATTCAAAATTTACCTTGTAGTAATCGCAAGTATACACATCTCGTGACATTCCGAAATCAGCTATCTTGACGACGAGATCAGAGCCAACTAAGCAATTTCTGCACGCTAAATCTCGATGGACGAATCTTTGACCGGACAGGTAAGCCATGCCAGCCGCAATTTGGATTGTTATCCAGTGTAGAGATTCCTGAAACAAATAAAATTAGCTGGGCCCGGAGAAGAAGAATAGAGAAGAAAAAGGAAAGCTTCGAATCGCTTCGAAGAGATTCAAACAGGTGAGTAAATTTAATGAAATTCACTTGGGTCAAAGGTTGCAGGCCGGGTTTCGTCGATCTACCGAACTGTCGAGAATTCGAGCGCAGAACTTCGGCGAGGTCCCCGTAAGGCATGTATTCGAAAACCATCCACGGGCTGTTACTACCTTCTCGAAGCACGACACCTTTCAGTGATAAGATATTTCTATGGCCAAACGTGGACATAATGTCGACCTCTCGCATGAAGTCTTCTTCCGCTTCGCGGGATGCAGTTTCCTTCAAGACTTTTATCGCGACGATCTCTTTCGACGTGTCTGCGAGACACAATTCTCCTATAAAAAGAAGAGAAAAAAGGGAGGCAAAAGTCTTGCTTAGTGATTATTGCTAAATAATCGCAATTCGAGAAATCTCGAATAGTAAACTCTTCTCCACGTTTTAAATGATAAAAATGATAAAAACCTTTGTACACTTTGCCGAAGCAACCCTCGCCGATGTCCTCTAAAAATACAAGAGATTCGCGTTGCAAAATTGCCACTTCTGGCGAGGCGCAACTAAAATACTGTGGATTAGGTGTGTACTTATTCGCTAGCAGCAATCCCTTTTTCAGATTCATCGGTGTTGCCTGAGGAGAACATATGCAAGCTATTTTCATAACAATCTTTTGACCAGTCGGACATTCTTTTTTTCAGCA